TCAGTATCTTTTAACACAACTGTTTGATTTTTTACTTTTTCAGCTTCTTCTAAATATAGGAGAAATGTTTGTTTATCTCCATTATTTTTTCAGCTTCTTCTAAATATGTTTCTTTATCTCCATTACTGCCTTCAATATAGTTTTGTTTTTAAAATTCTTGGTAGAGTCTTAATTCAGCCTTCTTTCCTGAAATTTCTACATGCTGCCAGTTGTCACTATTTTGTGCTTAGATTCTGTCTTCTGTTTTCAACTCTCAACTATTTCATCTTGTATTCCTGCTATAGCCAAAGTATAGGAGAGATGGCAAAGGGCTTCATGTTATATTAAAAGTAGCTTTAACTTGCTCATAACCTTATTGTTTATTTGTAACTTTTTCCATTCCACAGTTCCGCTGCTGAGGTTGATATGAGCAACATTTAGTGAGCTGAATCAGACTAAAATTTAGAGGGTCTCATATAGGAAGTATATTATTTTTGTAACATTAACCCCAGAATGTACTGTAGAGAACATTACACTCCCCCTTTTCTTTATTTACAGAAAACATAAATGGAACACCTTGTGGGCAGTGACTCAGTGTAGTCTGAGTTGAGACTAAACTAAGTCACTAGTCTAGATATGACCTAATTTCAAACAGTTGCCATTGTATGTGTTTCCAGATATTGATGAATGCCAGCAAGGGAATCTCTGCATGAACGGGCAGTGCAAAAACACCGAGGGCTCCTTCAGGTGTACCTGTGGGCAGGGCTACCAGCTGTCAGCAGCGAAAGACCAGTGTGAAGGTAGGCGTGTGGCAGCGTGAGCTCCTGTGCTTTCAGCCTGAGACCCCTGGCCTGGAACAGGTGCACTCGGGAAAGTGAGGCACGACATCGATGATGGCTTTCCAGTGCCAGGAAGCAAGCGACTTACACTTAACGTCAGGAAAGTCAGTGAAACGGGATGGGAAATATGTAAATTTGAAAAATAGGTAATTAGTGATCAAGTGGTTGGGCATTCATATTCATAAGAAAAAATACTGCTCTCTGTATTCCTTACTACAGAAAATCAGTTCGGTTGAATTCATTTCAAAGTTGTGCACACTAGGATCCCTGCAATTAGAAGGCCGTTATATCAGTCTGGTATGTGCTATGGAATGTTAATGACCTTAACTTTTATGTGTATTCAGCTTTAAAACATTTTTCTTTTAAAAAAATTACTAAAGAAGACTTTTCAACAAGACTGCAATAGTGTCCCCTTTCTACTCAGGGATAGAGTTTGTAAATTATGTCCTATTCCTACAGGTGATAGTGAGGAGTTTGGACCTCACTAGGTTTGATCTTAGACTTAAAAGAAATTTAATTGATCTCAATACAAAAAATCACTTTCGGGTAGCAAATGAATCTGTGGTACTCTTTTCCAATAATACCTCATTTACAGTAATAGGCAGTGAGCTGCAGTGTGCAACTCTCTAGACCAGTGGTTCTCAACCTTCTGGCCCTTTAAATATAGTTCTTCATGTTGTGACCCAACCATAAAATTATTTTCGTTGCTACTTCATAACTGTAATGTTGCTACTGTTATGAATCATATGTAAATATCTGATATGCAGGATGGTCTTAGGCGACCCCTTTGAAAGGGTCGTTCGACCGCCAAAGGGGTTGCAACCCACAGGTTATGAACCGCTGCTCTAGACTATCACAGAGTGTCATAGTCAAACCTATAAAAGAAAGCTAAGACGTTTAGTGAAGGCTTATAGACCCCAGCAACGTATTTACCACACACCGGTAAACAGTGGGATTCATATGTACAGGCTTTTAACACACTGATTAAAATTGTAAATTTTTCTGGATTTCTCCCTATTGGGGGATTAATAGCTTTTTACTAGAGTAGTGTTTCATTCACATAACGAAAAATCAAATCTAAGTTAATTATAAGCCATCTAATTTATATACTTCCTTTGCATGAATGATTGAAAGAATTTTGTAATATAATTTTTAATTGATTGCAGAGAGGAAGGGAGAGGAAGAGATAGAAACATCAATGATAAGAGAGATAATCAATTGGCTGCCTCCTACTGGGGATCAGGCTCGCAACCCAGGCATGTGCCCTGACTAGGAATCGAATGGTGATCTGCTGGTTCATAGGTCGATGCTCAACCACTGAGCCACACCGGCCGGGATAAAAGTATTTTTAAAGCATCCCTTCTGCAGGTTCTTTTCCCTCCCCTGCTCACAGATATTGACGAATGCCAGCACCGCCATCTCTGCATCAACGGGCAGTGCAGGAACACGGAGGGCTCCTTCCGCTGCGTGTGTGACCAGGGCTACAGAGCGTCCGCCCTGGGGGACCACTGTGAAGGTGAGAATTGCTCCTGATGTCAGAACCGGAAGATGCCGGAATCAGACAGAAATCAGCATGTTTTCCCAGCCTGGGTCCTCGAGCCCAACCTTTTGGCTTCACAGCTGAGGACATTAGGTCCCTGCAAAGTGTTTTCCCCAAGGCCACGCAGGGAATGCAGAGAAGGGGTGGGACCCAGGTTTTCTTCGCACCACTTGGAGCTGTTTGTTAGAAGCCTTGTGCCCGTAAGAGGAGGAAAGGACCAGTTTAACTTTTCTTGGCTGTGGATGGAGTGTGGTCCTGGGTGTGCAGTTTTGAACGGTGACACCTTATTTATGCGGGCCCGGCATGCAAATGATCCACATAAGTAAATCCAAGTTAGTTTTGCAGATAACGGGAACATTTTTAAGAGGCTGTTGTGCCCAGATTTCAAGATTCCCAAGAACCCACCAGGGAGCCAGCGAGTCCGATGCAAAAGCGAAGAGTCCTTTATTTCAAACCTAGGTCTGGCTCCCCTGCCCTCCTTACTGGCACAGCTGCAGGTGGCAGAGAGCCCGAAGCCTGATGGGACGGGGTGGGGGAGTGTTATAGGGGGGTGGAGTAAAGGCAGGAGAGGGGACTGTGGGCCCTGCCGATTGGCCAGGCGCGAGTCGATGTCTCATTACACAGGATGTAGTCATATTGATGGCGTGCACTTCCCTTGATTATCATTGGTTACTCCAGAGAAATCCTGGGCGTGGCCAGCAGAGGCGCCGGTGCCGGGAGGCGGGCGGGGACGGGCTGGGGGGGACCTGCTGCGGGGAACGCCGGGACTGACAGCGGGGCATCAGGGCCTCTAGGTTGAGGTCTCGCCCTTTCAAGGCAAACATTAATTCGGTTTTGAGCTTTTTTTATAGGATATTCCTAAAAGATACCCCACATGTACAGCACTGTGCAGTCATTACCCACGCCCTACCTGCCGTGGCCCAGAACCTCTCTGAGGCTGCAGGGCTGCTGACTCCGCCTGCCACCCATCTGGCTCTTGTGACTTCTGTCTGCTTTCGATATCCGTCCAAGTAACAAGTTTTTTCCTGACTAGCCTGCTGGTTTACTGCATTTTGACTGTCAGTTGGGAAGTGTGAATGTGGCAGGTTGGTGCCCCACGTAGAGCGTGGGAGTCTGAGTGGGAGTCTGAACCCCACCTGTGAGAGAAGTGGGTATGCTCTCTAGTGAAAGCTTTTAGAGCCCGTATTTCAATGGCCCCGGATAGTTTTTAACTTCCTGCCCCAGTCGGTTGGGAAAGATCCACTGGACTTCATAGCCTCTTGCTTTTCTGCCCTGAGAGCTTGGCACAGCAGTCGCAGCCCTTCGGGGGGCGATTTGGGCAGTTTCCAGGGCCTCGCTCTGTCCACTATTGGTGAATCACCTTCTAGGATTCTACCCTACGGTGGTAATGTTCTCATGTTCTTCAAAGGTCTGACGACACATGTGAAAAGTTGTGATCAACATACCTATTGAAAAAATAGGCAAAGGGCCAAACAAGTGACAAGTCAATCTA